AACTAGTGCGGGGCGGGTCGGAGAGAAGCCGCCAGCAAATGAAATGGCCACAAATGCAAAGCGATGAAGAAGGCGATACAGCGAAGAAGACCCGGTGAGGACAGAAGACAAGGCAAACAGCTACGGAAAACAGCTCAGGAGTTGGGAGAACTAAGAGGGTTGGAAAAAAAGAAAAAAAAAGAAAAAAAGGAAAACAAAAAACGATAAAGATCAGAAGAAAGAAAGTAAGGGGAGAGAACATCAGGCAGGCTGAGAGCAAGGGCATCGCAAAGCTTCCACATACTGAAGATGTCCTTGTGACAGCTGTGTGCTCAAACAGGAAGGGAACAAACAAGCAAAACCACTCAGCAGTCCAGAGAACAACAATCAAGGTGGAAAAAAAGAGGAGGAACAGACGAGCAAACTGTTCGGGAGTCCCGCAAACAATCAATGTCGGAAAAAAAGAAAACAGTTTCAAAAAACTCAAAAAAAACGGACACGAAGATACCAAAAGATGGTCGGGATTCTCGCTGCAGCTGTTGCGCCATAGCAACAGATCAAAGCATATGAGAATATCACACAGTGAAACGCCGAGATCCACAAATCTGGCACCACGTCAATGCCAGGTCACCTCATACAACGGAAGGAAAAAAAAAGAAAAAAAAAAAAGGTCATCCGCATTTGCGCTGAATGTCCCGGGACCTAGTCCAAGGCATAAGAATACCACACACGCCCGAACTTCAAACAAAAGACTACCGTCTTCACCCGAATAGAACGCCCGGTCACCATTGCTGTATCTAGACTGAAAGTTGCCCCAAACGCCGCGTTCTATTCGGGTGAAGACAGTAGCACTTTGCACTCTGCAAACTACCATTCGAGCAGTGTTAAATGGCAAATAGTGTGTCATCGTGGTAGATCGAAGAAGGGGGACCCCGGTCAGTCTAACTTTGTGCACAGCACTCTCCCCATTCGATCAGCCCGTTGCAGACCTGAGTAGTTGTTATGACCAGATGCACTGCACTGCAACAAGTCGCCGACGAACAACCACGGAACTCCCAACTGTGACGTGGTCTGCCCTAAAATACAAAAGTAACTCGGGACGCTCTTGCCCTCGGTAAATCAACTGTCTAGAAGAGCATCAGAACCGCTCGGTGCGAACTCGCACTCGGACCTTTTAAACTCAGCTCTGCTCTCGGTCAGGTCTATCCAGGTCTCGCTGTAATTGCAGTCAGATACATTTAAAAAGGTGCTACTGTGAGCATGCCCCTCACACTTCAATTAACCCATCAGGATAAGGTGAGCACAAACCATCCCAGCAATCGCATTGAGAACGACGCAAGCGTGGACATATGCAAGTACCAGACTTACCTAACCTCGCCGTCCGGAAGACCGATCCAACGACCGCGTCGATCCAAGGTGGTATTTGTCGACCTTGCCACCAGCAACAGCAGTGCAATCAACCTTCGCTTTGCATCTCCTTACCGCACACTTCCACGCAGACTATCCTGACACAGATACGTCATTCCGTCAGCATGCGACGTAAAGCCAAGACAGAGAGAGAATCATAGAGTCATGAGGCTGGAAACTAGAACCCACCTCCGCAATTTTACAAAAGCCCAGATTTCCCCTTACCTTTGGAAGACCCAAGATTGTCCCTTACCTTTCCATACGTGCAAACAAGGGTCTGCCGCCACCAATCGGTTGTTTGCATGGTTATACACAAAGCCATCGACGTCCAGTTGCTGTGTGCCTGAGATTACATGGACTCTCAACACTCTCCGCGAGTGCCACCGAGACTTCTGATCGAGCTGTGTGTCCCTTATGCTTGTTTTCCTAATGGCAAGATTCTTTCCCGACAAGCCATTCCTGTGCATAGCAGACGCGTGGCAATCATCATAGCCAGCAGGCGCTACCGACGGGGCTGCTGTCGTGCGGTGCTGTTTGCTAAGAGAGAGAAGCCGTCCTGATCGTCATCCTCATCTAGGTTGGACGAGGTCGTTCTCAAGCCTTTAAAAATGTTGTCCAAGGTGGTGGATGCTGACTGATCATCCGACGTCAAGCCAGACCTACCTCGTGTCGGCAAAAAACTATCTCCAGGAGTCACATCCCCGGAACCCTTCAGTCCCAGTTTTGGGAACTTGAGGGCCATGCTGCTAAACTCAGCTTTCACAGAGTTCCACTTAGAGGATATCTTGACCGAAACATCATCTTTAACTCCTTCCACTGGCCCCCCTCCTGCCCCCCCTAATCCTCCATCTTCCCCTCTACCTAGATGACGATCGTCAGACATGCGAAGCCCTGATTCATGTGATGACAGTAAATTCTGTGCCGTTTTCGGTCTCGGAGGAAGTAATGGCGGTTCCCAGCTGTCCCTGCGAGCCTCTCTCTCCGCCACAGTGTTTGGAAATCTCGAGGTACGTCCGTCCCTCTCTCCTCCTCTTCCTTCCTTCTTTTGTACATAATACTTGTTTGCAATTGCTTCCCGCAGCAACGACCCCGACGAAGGCGTGCCTGCTTTTTGCGAAGATGCCCCTGATGACTGCTGCGAAGAATCGTCAGCCTCCTGCACATATTGTTGTGTTTGACAATACCGATAGTTAGTGAAAAGTCGAAAACCAAACAATCCTCCCTTTTTTTTTTTTAATCCCCTTTTTCTTTTCAAGTCCTAAGTGTAATGAACCCAGTCTGGTAGATACTCAGAAGCCGTCCAACACCAGTAGTCTTGGTATATGCAACAAAGTTTCCAAATCATGAAGTGATATCACAAACAGTATCTCATTATCATTAGACGAAGAGAGTGGAGGGGTATCAGACAGAGGAGAAGGTGGAAGAGATGATAAAAGATCACACAAGAGTAAACCCGTCAAACCGCTCTCCTTCTCCGGGCTTCTTCCCTCTTCACATCAACAATCAGTAGATGAAAACAAGTATAGTAATCCTGATCACATACAGTAGATGAAAACAAGTATAGTAATCCTGATCACATACAGTAGTGCCACGTGGCACTCTTATCTCGTGCAGACCATGAAGACACAGCAGATTCCAGTGACGACATCACCTCAGGCGAGTATCCGACCTCCCTCGTCCACAGATCCCGATCTTCCTCCTCCTCGCAACCAGTCACCTCATGTAGACAGTGTGGACAATGCCACGTCAGCAGTCGAGACAGGTGGTATACGCCACATCAGCAATGAAGACTATTAGCAGCGCCACATCAGCATGCACTGTGTAGACCAGAGGTAGCGCCACATCAGCATGCAATGTAGACCAGAGGTAGTGCCACATCAGCATGCAATGTAGACCAGAGGTAGCGCCACATCAG